TTTGTGTATATGTTGTATTCCAACTACCCTTGGACCCGGATGACACCAATCCATGTCTATATGTATACCGAATTAATTCGACGGGGATAATCATACAGCTTTTGTACGGTCAACATAGTGCAGGAAAGCGACACTGGGGCAAACTGAAAATAACATTATCAGGACATTAGTTTATGAAGAACAGATGTTGAATTCGGGTCTTGCGAATCAAAGGCAAAGTTGATCGGTGCGAATTCCGTGGGTTGATCAAGAGGCTGGTTGCCCAGATGCAGGAGAAGGCATTATTACACGCGGAAGAGAAGCGCGATGCGTACGCTCCCATTCGATTTACTTATTCAGGTCAATAAGGCGGTGGATGTGGTATGTTTGCCTGTGTGATGAGTATTCTTGCATTTCAGAGGTTAGATGTTGTTTGAGCTCCCCGGTGTGAATCTTGACAAGGTGCCTACCTGTCTTATATCCTCCACCTCGTCCATACTGACTCCAGGAGCCAGTTGGTCGTTGCTGGAGGGGACGGGATGCACCGTACTCGTGACCGTGCTAGGTTCAAAGATTGGTTACATGTATCCTGTGTGGAACGGGCTACGGCCCAGCCACCGCCTTGTGTGCGTCTAGTGTGCATGATTTCCCAATTAGGTCGGAATGCTTCTGTTCGGCTTGTTGAAGGAGTGTGGGCCGGCTCCGCTGATGAAACATGGCTCTCGTCCACATGCTTCTCGGTCTTATTCCTTCGGGTTTACACCAGATGTGGGGTGTGTGGATGGTGCAGCGCAAGCCACCCATGGTCCCTCTGTAGGCGCAGGCGTCCTGTGGCTGTCCCGGTGGAGGCCACAGTAACAGGCAAATCTGGATACGGATGCCGCCAATTCATAACACTTGACCAACAGTACAAATGGCAGGGGACCACAACGTATAGACAAAGAGAATACAACCATAATGGAAGAAAAGGGGTTTAAAACAAGCTGTAGAACAGCAGTTATGGTGGTAGAGTCTCACAGCAGGATCGCGATTGCTCACGGTTTCTTGACGTGTCCGATAGGGTTTCCAGTTATATGTGCTCCTGATCCATGCGCCTCCAATCACGGAGTCGAGAGCTCCCGACCGCGGTCAAATGTGGGGTCAGGGTCTTCATACTTTTGGCCCAAGTCATTCGCTGACCACCTTGTCTTTGATTCCAGCCGACTTCTGTGTTCACAAAGAGTGCACAGTGAAGCAAACGCTCAGTAGGCATGCGAGGCTTGTGCAGTGCAATTATGCGGCTTAGCGGCCGGCCAAGTCTGTTTTCCGCCACGTGCGGTTCAACAACCTGAGTGACGAGGCGGTTGGGCTGGATTCGTGCGATCACTTTTCCAACACAACAGCGAGTTGATACCACGATAATTCATTGCACATTGCTTACTTCCTTTACTCTTGTATAAGGGTAGCACAAGGGCATTCTTCAACTCAGCTGGCACTCTCTTCAAACCACACGCGTTCCACTAGGTGGTGCAGCGCTTGTATCAATGCGGGTCCGCCTTCTTTCAACACTTCCGGCTTATCTCGTCGGCTTTGGTGTAACTGAGCAAGTGATCTCTGCTTCTCATGCAGTGTCGGCGTGTCAGCAAGACACATCTTCATCTCTTGCTGTTGCATCCCATACAACGTAGCCCAATCAATCTCTGAACGTTTGTTCAATATATCACAAATATACAGCCAATGTGATGTCGGTGTAGTTAAGTTTGATGAGCACAGTAGTTCATCTTCCCGTTACATGCGGTTCCGCGGTTATTACAAATGGTGATAGTAGGGCGAAGTAACACACAAACATGTGTCTGGTATACCTAAAAAATCTAAACTTCCAACTGGTCTTTGTCTCTGTGCAGATATGCCAACGTCACCATCGTGCCGGGATAAGTCTCCCCCGTTCACAGACTACCTACCGTCACAATTGCATACACAGCAATCTTTTTTACTTTCCTACTCTTCTTTCTACATGACTTGTTTCATTTCCCCCTTCTCCCATCCACCAGGCGAATGAAATACTCCTGTTCGGTCATCGGTTAACAGCTCACGAAGCTCACTCCAGTGGCCTGGTCACACATGTTGTCCCCCACTCAGAATTCCCACTCGAATGCGACAAGCTGCTGAAGGAGATGGTGCAGCTACCTCCACAGGTATGTTGGAATTCATAGCGTTGCCATTGTGTTATTATGTGGACGCCACAGTAATTCTGTGCTGGTCACCTATAGCGGCGGATGGCTAAGCATACATCTCGTGTCGCTCCAGTCTTCACTCGAACCAAGTTAGTTAAGTTTCATCCATGCAGAGACGTGGGGTCATCTCATTTGCCTCAGCTAGCGTCGCAGTTGTGCTAATCACTAACTCTAAGAATAGAAAAACGAGGCCCAGAGAGCATTCTGATCCCCTGTAAGAACGGTTAAGATTTAGAATCAGGAGCACCACTGGCATCTCTACCGTGTCATTTTGGATGAGACCTCTGCCCCAATTCCGAACGGCGACACACATAAACCCGACGCAGTCTGTCTATCGATTCTTCTACACTCGTCCCAATTGAAGGCGTATGTGTAAATAACATCGACTGAGGTTGCAGCCTACGAGGTGTGCGATGAACGTGTGGTCGATTCGACCTCTGCCGGCTGTCTAAGGAGTCTGTTGCCAAACACCGCTCATTAGATTTCCCTATTACCTACTCAGCGGCCACAGAGGATATGTGAACAACGATTCACAGACGCCAGTGATCTATGATGCTCAGTCTTTGTAGATCATCCGCACCCATCACTCCGTATCCCATAGTAACACTGATCTCAGTACATCGTTGTTCACTCCATTAGCATTATATACTGATACTTCGCTGGCACGCAACCGCAAGCGGTTACAGCGGACTGAGATGTTGCTGTATGTGCACCCAAACCTATGCAAAAGCGAAGACTCGAGCTTAGGGACTCAGAGATTACAAACCAGACTTCTGAACCACCGTACCTCAACATCGACTCCCTCAGATGGACTATACTCGATGTGCGATCGACAAAGCATAATATGTCTGGAGCTAACGGCTTGCACTCATTCGGGTACACAACACCTATTTTGACGATCTTCAATTCTTAGATGGTTGAAACTTCGAGCAGCCGCATAGGCCTCCTCAATGCCTGCGGCTACCACTACGCTTTAGTCACTACAGCTGTCTAGGCCTTTTCTCAGTCAATCGCATTCATAATACTTATAAATTCCTCTTTGAGGAAATCATATTCCTCCATAGATCCTTCAAGATGGGTCTTCCAGCTATCGAACTGCATCCAACGGGCGCGAACGTTCCTGAACTTTTAACAACTCCAAATCAACTAATTGCATCACATTCAGTGTACTCGTCTGATATACTATTGACCGATTTGGGATTAGTCAGTCAACACATTTAGTGGCGTTCGCGCCCGTTGGATACAGTTCGATAGCGGCAAGGCCCATCTTGAGAGATCTTTTGAGGAATATGATTTCCTCAAAACTGAATTTGAAAGCGCTATCTATGCGACTGACCACGAAAAATGTAGATCATTGAGCCGGCCACCCAATGTTTTTTGCTGTTCTATTACTGGGATCTCAAGACGGCGTTGTTTTTCACTGAGTGAGGCGTTTCAACTCTTGGAACAAATAACTCATGTATGTCCGACACAATTCATTTCTCGTTAGCATTACTATTGTCTTCCATAGACTTTACCAGTTCCAAAAACACAATAAAACGATTAAGTTTCGCAAATGCATTCGTTACGTATCGTTTCGTCAGTGTCGGTAATGTGAATTCGTCACTTTTTATATTCTGCAATAGTTGCACTCGTGCGTACATAAAGCAGCCAGAGTGGAAAAAGTGTCTCACCCCCATTATGCCAAGGGTAAGCTAAAACTGACCAGCAGTCATTTTCCAGTTCAGTGCACTGGTGCCTGTTCCATAGGCAACCGATACGGCACTAATTTCCTGAATGAAGGAACATATGCCTCCATGAGTTCAGTGTAACACAGCGTGGTAATCAAGCCTACCTCAAGCACCGCTGATCCCTTCGATCCGCAGGCATATAACGACTGGAATGAGGTCGAATACACGTTCAACCTTCTGCTGCGTTGTATCAATTTCCGTCTTCTCCATTTCGCCCAGGCCGTCGCGATATGCACAATTAACTAGGTGAGGTACATCCCAAAGCAACTATCAGTTATCCCTAATTTACCCTGGTCTTTGGGGTGAAAATTCCGTAATTCACTTTCTCCTTTTCGTTACACCGATTCTCTGTCATCCTTGATAATCGTTGATATCACTGACGAGTCGATACGCGGGGCATCTGTCTGACAACTTTCATTATTCCACTGTGCTCCTTAAATGAGGTGGGGAACCATATCGATACTTTCCCTTCTCTCTCTTTTTTCTACCGATACTTAGAACAATATGACTTCGTGTTTCCCCTAGCATATTCTTCAGCACTGGTGAACTGTACATTTTGCTACATTTCTGTCATAAACCGCTCGGTGTCTTAACGTCATCACGCTGACCTGTCTTCGCTCACTGCCTAGTGCCGCATCCAACCCAGCCGAAGCGAAATCAGCCAAGTTACAACTTGGCTGACCAGAAAGGATTTATTAGAATTATTCATGGTCATATTTATTAATCAAACATAGGCCGTCACACTGACATTTTGACTGTAACCTTCCGCCCCAGTGTGCCAAGTACGTTTGATGTCTGCTGATCTGGCGTCCTGGCTGACACGCAGACTCAGCCCAGCTTGACGTCTCCAGCCCCCTTGGTAGTTTGACCCCCGCAAAAATTTTCACATGTCACGGCTCACACGACACCCACGCATTTGACTTGGTTTTTGGTTTGACCACCAGCGTAGGCGAGAGTTCACTGAGTTAGCCGACTTGTTCGCAGGCTCTTGTCTAACACCGAGAAAGTGCATCCCGTCAGATACAAATTTCTGCTTGCTCCCACACTATATATATATATATATATATATATATATACATATATATATATATATATATATATATATAGGTCTTTTTAAGCTGGACAAAATTCATTCCACTTTGTTTGGTTTGTTCTGCCTACCTGAATAATCTTCTATTTACTGGCCACGTTGATTACGCTGATTGCGCTTATCTTCGGTAACTTTGTTGCGTTTGTAGCATTTTTTAAGGAACTTGTGGATATATCTTTACTAATCGCACATCCGTTGCTAACCAACTTACTTCATATGCTAATTTGGCGAAGAGTTATGCCACCATATCTGTATGCATTATTGGATTTATTTTATTTCTTCTTGTCGTTTCAAGTGAATGGCTGTTGCTTGATAACCCCGATATGGCTGCGCTTGATGTGCTTGTTGACAAGGTGCCTACCTGTCTAATACCCACTACCTCGTTCATACTGGTTCCAGGAGACGCTTGATCGTTGCTGGAGGGGACGGAGTGCACGGGCCTTGTGGCCGTGCTAGGCTCGAAGAGCGATTCCATGCACTCAGTGTGGAGCGGACTACGGTCCATCCACCGCCTTGAGTGCGCTTGATTCCCCAAATACAGCCTGCTTGTGTTTGCCTGTGAAGGAGCATGGGCCGGATCCGTTGATGAAATGTGGCTCCCATCCACATGCCTCCCGGTCTTATTACTGCGGGTTTACACTGGATATGGGGTGTGTGATTGGAGCTGTGGGTGGTGCAGCGCAAGCCACCCATGGTCTCCCTGTAGGCGCAGGCGTCCTGTGGCTGGTCACAGTGACATGTAAATCCGAAACCGGATGCCGCCAACCATATATATATATATATATATATATATATATATATATATATATATATATATATATATATATATATATATATATATATATATATATATATATATATATATATATATATATATATATACTGCCAACCCAGTTATCATATTCTTTGTCGAACCAATGTGGTTCCACCGGTCCGATTTGCCGACATCTTAGAAGCACAAATTGGTTACGCAATGAATTTATTCCATTCTTTATAACTGACCAGCAAGCTTCAGCAGATGCAGACTGCAGCAGAAACCAATCCACTTGGCTCGCTAATGGAGTCAGGCCGTCGAAATCAGTCTTCCAGTAGTTGTAATCTGGCTGCAGTCTGTGCGATTGTTGCGGTGGCAACGCCATGTTGGCAATATGGACTGCGTGGTCACTTACTGCCAGAGGCTCTGAAATCCGAATGTCATACACAGATTTTTCACAGCACGTTAACATCAAGTCTAAGCATGATATAGTTGAACGCGGTGTTATGCGCGTCGGTTCACAGATATGCAGTGCTGCTCCAGTTTCAAGTACCATATCAGCGAACTTTCCTTCGACCTCGCGGGTGCATTGATACACGATGAGGAGCGCGGTATGGCTCGTTGGGCGAAACACTTTCAAGACCAGTTCAGCTGACACCCTGCTCCCGGACCTCTTCCTACTCAGTTGATGCAGGATGAGCCGTAGACGGTTTGTTTAGAGCCTCCACCGGAGGCCGAGGTCCGAAACGCGATCACAACCCTCAGTCATTTTCGTGCCGCTGGCACGGATTCCCTCCCACCTGCACTATTTAAGGATGGTGGTGAGGTCCTCTGCAAAGCACTGACCTCCCTATTCGAACATATCTGGAAGGAATAGAGTGCCCCGGCTAATTGGAGCGAATCGATTATAGTGGCAATATACAAGAACGGCAGTCACACAGACTGTTCTAACCACAGGGTATTGGCATAACGCTAGTTGTGACAAAATTACTGGCCTCGATTCTCTCGTCGCCTCACTGCGGAACGGGAATTTAGGATTAGGGAAGAGCAGGCAGGTTTCCGCCAAGGACGTGGCTGTATAGACCATATATTCACTTTGCGGCAGGTGCTAGAGCAGCGCCACGCATACCGCAGACCGGCAATAGCTGTGTTCCTTGATTTCAAGAGTGCGTTCGATTTAGTCGATCGATGCATTCTGTTCGAAACACTTGCGCGGAAAGGTGTTCCCACGAAATATGTGAACATTCTACGTGCTCTATACTCGAACACTAGGCTACGTCAGAGTCTATGGTGACCTATCGAATAGCTTTCCGACCACAAGTGCCTTTCGTCAGGGTTGTCCGATTTCCCCGTTTTCTTTGTTTAATCTCGTCGTGGATTTTTTCAT